GGGGTCTCGCAGTATATCTGGTGCAGCATTTCGGGGTCTCGCCGTATATCTGGTGCAGCATTTCGGGGTCTCGCAGTGTATCTGCTGCAGCATTTTGGGGTCTCGCAGTATATCTGCTGCAGCATTTCGGGGTCTCGCCGTATATCTGGTGCAGCATTTCGGGGTCTCGCCATATATCTGCTGCAGCATTTCGGGGTCTCGCAGTGTATCTGCTGCAGCATTTCGGGGTCTCGCAGTATATCTGCTGCAGCATTTCGGGGTCTCGCAGTGTATCTGCTGCAGCATTTTGGGGTCTCGCAGTGTATCTGCTGCAGCATTTCGGGGACATTGATGACTTTGAAAGAACTAAGGGGAAAATCAGTGACCCCCATAGTTCTCCTTTAAGTCAAGGCTGTGACCAGCTCAGTCCATAGACCTCCATTTCCTCTTTTGGAGTCATTCCTCGGTGGACTTATTTTCGATTCAGCTTTTTGGACAGATGGCTGGAAAGGAGCGGCAGAGACATTGCTTGCTGCCCCCCCACATGACCCACAGAGATGCATTATAAGGACAGCCCTGGGGGGTCAGCACTCTGTCTTATTGATCTTACCCTTGCTGCTCTTCAGGTGGAGAATCAATCATTCTACAATGATTGATTTGGAAAAATTGGCAACTGAATTGGCGAGCTTGTAATCATGTGCCAATCGGAAATAACTTTCCAAGAAATGTTATAAAATAAAGATCTTCCTGGAAGTCCTCAGCAATCCCTTCCTATGTTTTCATTTCCTACGCGTGGATGCTGTTGCAAGTCATGCGTCAAATTCATGATCTCAAGCAGTAAAATATATCGCCAGCACACCGCGGTCAAATCCTCAGAAGGTGATCGTTTTTTTTTGATGCGCGCACCTCTTGTCGCATTGCTACGTTTCAGGGTCCCTTCCTCAGGCAGTCACTACGACACCCACCGCAAGGGACATACCAGTAAGGAGTGCGGGAGGGTTCTCCTGTATCTAATGAATGATATCGGTGCAACATTTTCCTTAGAGGTGCTGACTTGGGCGCCAAATTCGAGCGGTTGGTGGTAGCGACAGTTTTATGGGCCGTATTGCTGAGAAAGATGTCCTTCGGTATACCGCCGTATCAGATGAGGGATTATACTGCGACCTCTTCCATGCTGTCGTACTTGTGCAATACATTAATGATGTACCGCAGAACTCCGGCCTCACCTTCTGTCCCCGCACTTGTAGCCGCTCCTCTCCTGTGTGCGCACCCGATTACTCCCGATTACCTGCAAACTTTGGTTACTATTTAAACCGGCGCGCTGTGTGCAGCTTCTGAGAAGATACGCTATTAGCGCAGCGGAAGCGATGCAAAATGTGCAGCCGGCTTCATCGCTCCGCTTATAGCGTATCTTCTTAGAAGCTGCACACAGCGCGCCGGTTTAAATAGTAACCAGCACAGGCTGTATGCATATTCTAACAGCTTGAGAGACGGGACGCTGCACTTGTTGGTCGTTCCAGGGATCAGGTGGGTATTAAAGGGTTATTAACCCCTCCGGCTTTGTTGCATATATATGAGGCGAGCAAGCAGGAGATCTATGCAAAAAGTTTAAAAAAACAAAACGCTTTAACACGGTTTAAACTTACCCCGCCTTCGCCGCGCACTCCTGTCCGAAAATCCGAATCTGCTCGGGCGTCCGCAAAGCATCTTGGGGCGGGCGCATGCGCAGTTCGGATTTTCGGGCGGGAGACGAGGAGAGACGCAAGGTAAGTCTATGGACGGCGTGCACCCGCATGATGACACCGTGGGACAGGAAGTGGCTGCAAGGACAGAGGAGTCGGCGCTGGATCGGAGACCCGCCGCACCGCTGGAGGGACAGATGAAAACTTTCACCCCTCAGATCACCCCAATTCCTGCACCTTCACCCCTCAGATCACCCCAATTCCTACACCTAGGCAGATCGGATTCTTTATACAACAAAGTCTGCAGCCACAGGTGGGCCAATGACGGTCCATGAAACTTCTCATCAGCAAAGTCAGACGGGTCTCTATGGAAGGTTAGGAGGTGGGTGGGCGGCGGGCGCAGAGAGACCATGCTGTGTAAGTGACAGCCTAGGGAGCAATGCTATATTTGTAGGGAGCAGGGACCCACCAGAGGACCCTCCAGTCTGAGTCTGCACCCATGCCGCGGGAGGATCTTCCAAATTGATGCTGCATGCCGGCCCCGGCACACATGCCTTAGTTTGCCTTTACCTGGTGTAACCCTTCCCAGATATCATCAAAACTAACAACAAGTAACTTTTACGTACACTTTAAATAAACCTCATTTTGGCCATTATTTGCATCAAACCAGCGACCGGGTCTGTAGCTCCATAATGAATGTAATGGAATGACATTAGGAAGCACGGCGCTGATAGCACATGGAGCTGCCTGTCAATCATATGTACAAGTCCCTCTGCAGAGCTCTCCGTGGAACCCGTTTGGATCCCAGTTGCGCAGGGGCGGGGGGGTGGAATGTCGTCTGTTGAAGTTTCCATTAGACGTCATGCAAGATTTACTAAGTGGATTATACGCTTCTTAAGTTACAGACAATATTTTCCACACCGTCTGTTCGCTGTGCCAGGGCCAGCTTTGTGGCTTTTGTATCGCCTTCATGTCGATGGTGACGGTCATGTACACATAGGATTAAGCCACGGACACCTTGAAGGGTCAGTCTGCCCAAAATTCATTTTCAGTGTTTGCTGGAGAGTTAAACCTCCAGTTCCTTGTATCCCCGGGGCACTCCAGTATGGGGCACTCCAGTATGGGGCACTCCAGTATGGGGCACTCCAGTATGGGGCACTCCAGTATGGGGCACTGGGGCTTCCAGCGTGCATGCTGCAGACGGGGGTCCAACTACGAACTACTGGTCTACACTGCAAGTCTGTGGTCAGGGTTGTGTTAAATATGTGAACAAGGAGCTCCTCATAATGGGCACAGCGGGTGTACAGACCCGGGAACTCAGCACAGGGATGGTGGGAGCTCCTCATAATGGGCACAGCGGGTGTACAGACCCGGGAACTCAGCACAGGGATGGTGGG